GCCCTCCCTCTGCAGGAGGCCACGGGCAGCCACACACCGGCCCTGCCCCGGCCAGCGCCCTGTGTGGCCCCTGTGGGCGCCCTCTGCAGTGGCTACTTCCTGCGGGCTGCAGGGCGGCCTCTCGGGGCAGCTCTGGGAACTTCCTAAATAAACCGGTCACCTCACCAAGTGCTTTTCCTTCTTGCGTGTGTGTGCTCACGCGTGTGTGTGCATGTGTGTGCGTGCGTGTGCTCACAGTGTGTGCATGTGTGTGCTCACGCGCATGTGTGTGCTTGCGCGTGTGTGCATGTGCATGCATGTGCTCACAGTGTGTGCATGTGCGTGCGTGTGTGTGCTCACAGTGTGTGTGCATGTGTGTGCATGTGCGTGTGTGTGTGCTCACAGTGTGTGTGCATGTGCGTGTGTGCTCGCGTGTGTGCATGTGCGTGCGTGTGCTCACAGTGTGTGTGCATGTGCATGTGTGTGCTCACTGTGTGTGCATGTGCGTGTGTGCGCTCACGTGTGTGCATGTGTGTGCGCTCACGCGTGTGTGTGCATGTGTGTGAGTGCTCACGCGTGTGTGTGCATGTGCGTGCGAGGCCGAGCCCAGCCCCGCAGCCACGCGTGTGGGCCAGTCCGACCTGCTGACAGACACTGTGCCTTTCGCCGGGGGCCCTGCGTCTCTCCAGCCTCTGAGTTCCACCCTGCTCTCCCCCAGGGGCCCTGCAGCCCCTCCCGCCCTGGGTGGGTGCCCCCTCCCAGGCCTCGGGGACGCCAGGAAGGCCGAGCCCAGACTGGCAGGTTCCAGAGATCAGGAGCCCAGACCCGAGCAGGGCCGGTTGGGCTCGGACGCTCCCAATGGAGGACCAGAATCCGGCCTAGAACCCAGCGGCTGCCTGAGGGGCCCGGGGACCAGCAGCGGCCACAACTCCTTGTTTGCTGGCATGCAGCTGGTGGCCTGCCCCCGCCTGGTGGAGGCTGGGACTGGTGCCCAGGAGCCCCCGCAGCCCCCTTGGACGTTGTCACACAGCGTGGCAGCCCCAGAGCCTCCTGGCTCAGAGCCATCAGCTTTCGCCTTCTTGAACTCATGACCCGGACAGTGACTGCACACGGTCCCCTCCGCCCTCAGCCCTGGTGTCTGTGTCGGCCTCTCCCTCTCACCCTGAGGCCTTGGTGCGGGGAGCAGCCCAGCCAGGAGAGCGCAGCGTGGACGAGCCTCCAGGAATGAGCGCAGGAGCCACGAACTAGCCAGAGCCGCGTGGAGGCGGGGGAAGCAGCTGGCGGACTCGCAGGTGGCGGG